TCACGAGTGGTATTTATGCCAAATATCACTACTAATCATGCTATTACCTGCACTAAGTGAAAATTCCTTGAATGGTATACCAGATAGGCTGGTTAGGATCTGCATTTTAACCGTTTTGGTTTATTTCCTTTTCCTGTTTTTTTTTGTTTTGTTATTTTCAGTTTCGTGTAGTGATGAAGACAAAACTCTAAGAATATGGCAGTGTTATGAACCTGGAGATGAAGTAGGTATTTATTTAACTCTAATACAGGACGTGGTTGCATTGTGCGCATAAGTGCGAATTCGCTTGAACCGTTATATTACCGACTTTGCTGCAGAGGAATTCTTCCTGCTCTCCGACTCTTGTGTTCAATTCCTTGTGTTTAATCCGCCATCGGTCGTGTTATCCGTGATACCGCGCAAAAAATCTTTCGGAACAAAGGGGATGCAGTTGCAGCAAGTTGCGTCGTGCACAACAACCACTTCGTAGCCAAAACAGAGTGTTTGGCATTAACTTTCGCAACAGAGCTATGATGTAAAGTCCTAGGAGTTTACTCAGCCCTCTTTCCTAGCCATATGCCCCATTACCTTTACTACTAACGATGACATTTTCTGCCTGTGTTTACATTGAATAAAGGTGTGCCAACCCACAAAAGTGACCCGAAATGGAAGACAGTCTGCGTCTTATCTGGCTATCACGACCGAACCGTTTATGATGTTCACTGGTGAGTTGTAATCAAACTTACTTTTCATATTCTGTATTCAGTCTGTGGCCCGCTGTTCTGGTAACCTCATGGTTACAACCAAAAAACTATTGTTTCCACGGTTTGAATTTGCATTCTATTCATATCCTAGCCGGCCCCTTCGCTTCTCTCCCTGTCCCGTCGGACGTCAGAGAATCAGGCTAGGTGAATCCACCTTATCTCGTTTTCTGGCTCTTATATTGGACGTATCTTCATGTCGATTCGCCTCGTTCCTAGCTCTTCAAATAAATGTCTTTGACCCCACAGGATACACAAAACCGCGGCATAAAGCGGTCTCCCTTGTCTAGATGGGATGTAGCGGTTCGTTTGATGCACCATGATCCAAGTGATCTTGAATCCTAATCTGTATTATCTCAAATTAGGAACGCACCCCTAGAGTACGAAATAACTCTCTTTTCATGCTTTTCTGTAAATTTCTTTGTTGCCCTTTGACAACTACGATGTAAAATGGCGAAGTTTTAGGTTCTTAGAGAAAGTGAACGGCAAGACGATAAATATTCTGACGTGGTTCCCTCTCTTAAGCTCCAACTTACCTTCCCAACGATTGATTAACTGGACGAGTTGAAGTAATCACGAACAAACTTAGAGGGACACGAATCCAGTTTCCAAAGACATTGTCACCAGCGTCACCGTTGTGCAGTATCGTAAGGTGCCTACCATTTCAAGAGTGACGAGTGAATGGCAGATTATGAAGAGGTGGGGGTGAGGGGGGGGGGGGGGGATGTATAGAAAAAGGGAGAATCCTTCACTTCCTCATAACTTCACCATGTTTACAAACGCAAGGGCTTACAACCACGCAACAAATTTGTTAGATCTGCCCAAGATTTTGCATCTTTTGTAATTGTTTTTCTAATCTTAGGTCATTTGTCACTGATGCCATAGCGACATCTTCCGGGGATGACTGTATGCGAATTTTTCAACAGTTGATTCACAATCAAACTGTTTTACAGATTTTGATGTTTGGCACCTCGCAATTTAGGAAGCTTTTATTTAAAACACTACGCTAGCGAAACCCACAGAAACGTTTCAGCCTTTGATTCTTTTAACTACTACCAAGCCAACTTCTTGACCAAGAAAAACTAAATAGTTCGATGTAGAGTTTTCTAGCAGACTAATTAATAACAGGTTGCTTTTTATTTATACATTTATTAAGTACATAAATTGTTTTTTTAGTCATTAGGATCCCTCTGTTGGGGTTGGTGACAAAAATCAACCTACATTTCACCAAGTGCTGCAAGTGGCCATTCAAAGAAAGGTTTGCAGTAATTTCGTTGGTATCCTGAGCATAATCCAGTCTAGCATCTATGAAAACCTGACTAAATTACTCTATAACCTTTTAAATTAAGGTCTCTCCCTTCAGGAAGTTTGCATGTCCCCATTTTTGTCTGAAGCTTAACATTAAGCTATTTTGATCATAGTTTCGGTTTGGGTGCAGCTTCAGCAAAAAGTGGACCGGGCGATTCCTTACAAATTTCCGGGGGGATAACTTGGATATGTAAGATTTAGAACAAATTTACATCTTCATTGATCTTCATTGTCTTACGCCAGCAGCTTGTCTTTTAGAACAAGTATATATTTTTTTCTCTGAACCAAGTTGACCAAGACCGTCTTCATTCTCTAACTCGGCTTTGAGACGGCTAGACGCAACGTTTGGTTGTTACGTTTTTTAATGTTCGGTACCTCGATACGATATATTGTGTGTCTTATGAATAACTAATTACTGGATAAAAAAGCATAAACCAGATTTCTTTTTTTCACCGTATACAGGCAAATTGTCAAGATGTTAATGGCGTGAAATGGCACCTTAAAGAATTAGGTCACTTAACTTCATGTTCTGATGATGGTACAATCAGCATGTGGAGATTTATACCAGAAGATTAACTGACCTTCACCTGCAACTCTGATAAATACCTACCACCCTTACCCTCGAAATTCTTCAGATCATAGATTCACGTACGAGATTGATCGATATTTAGACCGAACGGGAAACATTAGGACGAAATCGGGGGCATACTCTCGCGACTATGTGTCTTCATACTCTAAGAAAGGACAAAGGAATTCAGAATTTAGAATTATTAACTTTAAAACCAGAAGTTAATTTCCGTCTGTTGCGCAGGCTACTCGCGGGGTGAAGCTCAGAGGAGTGTTGCAAAGGGCACAGAACCGTGGCAGCTCGGATTACAAGGAATACTTCAAATGTTACATTCTTTGTGGTAAATTAGTGAAGGTTAACTTCAAGAAGGAAAATGCTCTATTACCTTTTGGTTTTTAACTACTTAAATAATCTGGTACCGAGGTGTCTTAGTACCTTACAAGAATAAGGGCTTTGCTAGCTTGTGAACAGATCCCCTCTCCCTTCAAAAAAAATCCTCTCCCTGATTTTTCTGAGGGGAGGGGGGCGTCTGTACACAGGCTAAGTTTCCCAGAATTTGATGTAAATGTCCTCGAAGCAATTTTAACCGTTCAAAGATTTTCAATCTGACCAGATACAGAGAAGTTCTCGTGAAATATTCACTGCTGTTTACGTATGCAGGAATGCCGATTTGAATTTGACACTAATTACAGGAACAACTGGAGGATTCAGGCTCATTTTTCATATAATCAATTCATTAATAGAATCTTAAGGGGGGGGGGGTACGCTTGACTTGTCTTGACTGTAAAAAGGGCGGGAGTGGAACGTTGCTTGATTTCAATGTCATTCAGAAACACGTTGAATAGATAGGTGCCGCTCACACTGCCCTGCGTTCAGTGCGTTGTTATCCATTATTAAGAAACTGTGATACCAGTTGATGATATAGGCATTCAGNAATATTACAAAATACGGAGAATGTCTCTTTAAATATTCCCTGCTTGTTACGGAGACAGGAATCACTATTTGAATTTGACCAGAATTAAAGGAACACCTGGAGGATTCAGCCTAATTTTTCATAAAATCAATTCATTAATAGAATCTTAAGGGGGGGGGGGTACGCTTGACTTGTCTTGACTGTAAAAAGGGCGGGAGTGGAACGTTGCTTGATTTCAATGTCATTCAGAAACACGTTGAATAGATAGGTGCCGCTCACACTGCCCTGCGTTCAGTGCGTTGTTATCCATTATTAAGAAACTGTGATACCAGTTGATGATATAGGCATTCAGTGGCAGCAAGTTTAGTTTATTAAATAGTAGCTCGTGTCTAACTGAGTCGAAAAATAACATTTACTTATTAACTATGTTTACACTATGAAGTTCTGACGCATAATTCGAATCATCTCAGTTACCTTATCATTTACCAGGGGCACCCAACGAGAATATAGTGCAAAACCACTTAAACATAGCATTGTTGAACGTATATTAGTATTTAAACGGTAGATATAGGCTTACTTTTATCCCCTAAAAATTTTTCATCTGTTCGGATTTCCCAGCTGAAAGTCTAGTGATCCGAAAATTATAGGGATCAAAACTTACCTTCTCGAAAATTTCAGCCCGAAGAAAGGTTCCCGAAAATTCTAGGTGACCTTTCTAGGGTAAAAAAAATTCTAGATCTCAAATCGTCTTCCGAACAGATATTTTCCGAAAATTGTGGTTGGGTGCCCCTGATTGACGAGTTTGAAAAGCTATACTCGAAAATAGGTATTTACTATTTTCGAATCCCCCATAATACACTCTGTTACCCCCTCCCCCCTCCCTCAAGTTTTGCATAAGTTATTGTTTTCAAATGCTCTTGGGAATGTACTGAGTCTTCCCAAATTCATGTGAGAACAATAGTTTACGCAAACAAGAGGCAAACAGAGTGTTTTGGGGATTTTGAAAATAGAGAATAAAATCATAGTATCTTTTGTATCTATATATATATCAATAGTATTTTTATCATACCAAAACTTAGTAATAGGCTTCGCATGAAATTACTTTTTTCAGTACCAATAGGGCGCAAATCAGTATTCGTGTATAGCTGACGTGTAATCACTCGCAATCGAAAGTTTTACCCAAAGTGCCTTAACGAGCATGAAGAGGAATAACAGGAGCATTTTGCCTTTGTCGACGTGTAAATAATAACAGGAGAGCTTTCCTGAACTCGGGCATTCTTATTGTGTAAACCACGGGATTAACAAACGAGTTTGTATAAAATAAAAGCAGTAAAGAAGAATTCAGTCGTATTCTTTTTGTTAGAGAAAGTGATCGAATGCTATCAGTTGTATAATAAACAAAGGTAGCTACAGCATATGGCAGCCACAAAAGTAGCGATACAATAGTCATGATGAGTAACGTTACAGTCAATTTTCTTTGCCTACGGGCTGCACCATGGTGCTGAGGACGCGCCCCACAACAGATTTTGACGATAATTGAGGCGTAACAAGCACAGATAACAAAAAGACATAATAAGCAATATGATTGCCAGAAATACTGATGGTGTGGCCATTCTTTGCCGAATAACTGAAGCATGCTAATTGCAGTTGATATCATCGCAGCTAATACCCAGACAACAGGAATTGTTACCCCGTAGACCCAATTTTTGATAACTCGATGCCTGAATGGACGAAATGTCGCATGCATCCGATCTAACGAAATTACAGTTATGTTTGTAAGAGAGGCAAGAGGAAACCAGTAGAAAATAAACGACACTATGTTGTCTCCTTCCCAAGTTAACCTTACATTTAAATTTTTGCATCCCATTCTTAGAAAGATAATATTAGAACAGTTACTGGAAATTCCTCCAACCAACATGTCAGCAACAGTCAAGTTTATAACCAAGTACATACTACGAGAGCGAAGATTTCTGTTCTTTATAAAAATGATGATTGATAGAAGGTTCACTGTTACTATAGCAACGGACACTGTTAGAAATGCAGCAAACCAGGTGATGCACTCGGGTGAGGAAAACATCGTGGATTGTCCGCTTTCCACCTTTTAATTCCAGTCTTCTTTCAGTTGCTCGGCTACCTATAAAAAGGATTCAAGTAAGGTTGCTTAGTTGGAAAACTATATATCTAAAAGATATCTGGCATGGAGATACAGTGAAAGAGTGCTCACCTCAATCCTAGATAAGCTGTTTGTTGTCGTCAAAAAGCTGAAGTAAAGGTTTTCCTTTCACCTTTGGAAAAAAATCAAAAGCGCTTGAGGTCAGAATAGGATGAATTGGTTGGCAGGAAGTTGTGAACGAAAAATTTTTATATTCAGCCTCGCTCGTTGTATCTTATTAATATTTAACTAATAAAAATGTACTTCAAAAATGCGGCGCTCGGTTGTACGAATCGCTAAGTCGAGAATTCAGTGTCATTAGTTTTTGCCACCCAGCAATCACACGGTGTTTGATTGCTGCTAGTTCCATTGTTGTTGATTGCAAAGAGCTGAACTGACATGCACAAACCAGCTTTTTCAACTTTTGAACCTATGTACACGGTACTTGTGTAAAAGGCGACGTCTTCTGCGAATAATGACGTCAGAAAGGATTCACCTATTTATCGGTGCTAAAATTTTAGTTGAATAATCTACACTGTTTGAAGAGAGCCTAACTTTTCGACGACCGGAAATACGTCTGTGCCCGCAGGCCAACCAGTCGTAGAATGTAAACGTTTTTTATTGCGAGCATTCTTCATGTTAACATACATAGTGAGGGGTACAAATACTATATATTTACCTGCCTAAAACAACCCACTTATGAAAAGATCTAGCGGTCCACAGCCTGTTTCGTATGCCATGGTCCATGCAAGTTGATCTTCCGTGTTCTTTAACATCGGCTCTTTCCATTTGTCCATCATTTTTACCTCAAAGTTTAAACAACGCTTTTATAACTGTTGCCGTAATTAACATCAGTTTTTAAAATTTTGTTGACGTTTGAGGTTGCTGTTAACTTAAACTTCCTCTTTCAATTAGCCCTCGACAAACTAACCTTTACTGATCGACATATACAATGATTATTTCACCGCAGTCTATCACGCTCTTCGGCAGGGGAAGAAACTGGTAATTATAATTATTTAACCATACATTTATAAAGCATAATTAATTCAATGCATAATTTTATCTTGCCTGGCTAACGAGGCTGACAAATTTATCATGAATGTATGAAGAGCCGGGGAACAAGTCATGTCTTATCAAAACGTTTTGGCGGCAGTTAAAATCGTGTTTTAAAATATCAGTGTTGCTGATGTAAGCCTGGTGTTAAGTTATAAAATTCTTCATTCAATCAGCCCACTGCCGCCTCGACAAATCGACCCTTTGTGATCGACACCTACATTATCATGATTATTTCGCAGCAGCCTATTATTCGTCGCAGCTACTTACCTATGCAGCTTCTTCGAACGTCTGTTCAACGTACATAGTAATATCATAGTTATTAGAGGAGGCTGGTTATGAAAAGCGGCAGACATCAATGATAAAAACAACAGTGCTGCAGTTTATGTTGGAAGCACCCTGAAAGTGCACAATCCTTTGTTTTCTGTTGGCAAATTGTTACGGAATAAATT